TCCTGGGAAACTGCCACACTAATTTTCACAGTGGCTGTACAAGTTTGCAGTTCTTCCAGCAATGGATGAGTGTTTCCCTCACCCCACATCCTCACCAGCATGAGCTGTCATCTGGTTTACTGACTGTGACCATTCTTATGGGTGTAAGATAAAATCTCAAAGTAGTTTTCATTTGCATTTTGGTATTTCTTGGTCTGTCATGCAGTTGTTCTCTTAAAAACCACTTTCAGCTGGGGGTAGCTCACTTCTATAATCTAAACACATGGAACAGTGAAGCCTAGGTTACATAGTGAGACCCTGTCTCAAACTATTCAACTAACTAGCCCAACAATCTCCTTTCAGGGCAGAGTCACATCAGTAATAGGATTCTAGTAAGAACAAAAATGCGTAGCTCTGAACTCCCAAACTTCTGAAGCTCATCCAAAGTAACCAATCAACAGTTGCTTCATTGATGGTTTCAGAGGTGAAAATGTGAGTCAGGCATGCTCCTGCTGAAATGCCTGCCTTTAGTTACAGTATTGCTGGATGCATGAAGCCTGTCAACATGTCTGTCCCTCTGCATTCTGTGCCATATGGGCATGTCCTCAGGCCACACAAAGCTCTGTGAACAGCAGAACTGGATTCCAACATTTATCAATAACAATTTATAGCTGATAGATAGCTCCATGGAAAAAGAGCCAGAACCCACTGAAGCCTAACAATGCAACCCCCACAAAGGCTCAATTCTAGCCTGGGATCAATGTCATCAGTGAAATTTATGGGAATGCCACAAAATCCTCTGAAAGGCAGTGGCATTATCCGCAACCTCTCTGGGATCCCATCAATTATGGCCTAATGAGGTCCTTCTGCCACAGCAAAAGCCTTTCATTCAACCCCTGCCTCTCTCAGGTGATGGTGTACTACTAAAAACAACCATTCCTCTATCACAAGTGTGGACCCCTGAGAGATGCATCCAGAGGCATCTTTGCTTCTTGGGGGTCTGGTAAGCACCCATGGTTTCCCTCATTGGACTTGTTTGCTCAAGGGAGCTTCTAATTGATAGACAGGTCTGAGACTCTCTCAAGTGAAAACAACAAAACAAAATTTGTTCAGAAAATATCTCACTGGTGGCATGTTTAAAACCTGCAAAGTGACAAAGCATGAGTATGTATTACATCAGGACTCTTCTGCAGCAGTCTAAAGCTCTATGCATGATAGACCACTGCACTGGAAACGTGTGTGCTCTGGTTTCGAGCTCTCCCACAGGTGAAGGACTGTATGTCCTGGGGCCTTTGACTGACTTTCAACTCAGCTCCAGATCATCCTGATTGGGTCCTCAATGCTGATGTTATTAGCTTTTAACTGAATATAGGCTGCCTCTTAGGATTGTGGCTTACTCTAGAGGAGTCAGTGACAGGGTTCCTGCCTCTCTGAAGGACCTCTCAGTCACTCAAGGAAAAGAGACTTCATATCCATGATGAACTCATACAGTATAGAGTCATGGGTCACTCCAGGGACATATCCTTAGAAATTCATGCTTTATTGATGTCACCATTTCCTGAACACCGAAGTGTGCTTACACAAACTAAGACAGTTATAGTATCATTAGGTCGTGGATCTTATGGAACCACCATTGTATATGTGGTTCATCATTTGCCAAAGTATTCTTATGCATCTCATCGCTGTGTGTGCATCCATATCCTATTTATACATGTGGTCTTGGCTGTATGCATCTTGAGTGTTAGTAATCTCATTGCTCCGTGGCTTATAAATGTATCATTCCAATTTTGGTATCTGATGCCATGTAATATTTCCTCCTCACCCCTTGTAAATACACATGATCTATCCATTCTCACATAGCCCCCATCTTAACTGATTATATCTTCAGTGAGCCTGTTTGCAAATCCGAGTGTCAGGGAAGCTCGTAACTTTGATGGGACACTGTTTAACCCAATGCAATAAACACCCTAAGAGTACTCTCGTCTTTCAAGAGGCTATTCCTTACTGCATCAGGTGACTGGATGAACCTGTTGTAACCTAGACAAGAGAAATAGACAAGGGGAACACTTGGGACTAAGAGTAGGGATACAAGCTGGGTGTGGAAGTGCACGCCTTTAACTCCAACACTTGAGACGGGCAGGGGAGTCTCTTTGGGTTTGAGGTTAGCCTGCTCTACAGAGGGAGTTACAGGGCAGCCAGGGCTACAGAGTGAGACCTTGTCTCAAGAACAAAAACAAACACCAAAAGATAGATAATCAAACAAACAAATAAATAATAAATAAATACAAAATAAAAATAGAGTATTACACAATTTCCTGGGGCTGTATAAATTTGAATGAATGGAAATTAAGTAGAATTAAAAATTCAGTCTCTTAGTCTCATTAGCTACATTTCAAAAACTGGTAGCTTCACACAGCCGCTCTATACAGTATGGTCGGTGCAGTAGTGGAACATATCCATCATTGCATCAAAGGAGAAGGCAAAGTACTTTTACTGTAATGTTGCCTGGGGGCCACCCTACTGTGGCTGTATCTCTGGTGCGCTGGTCTTGATATTTGGCCTTGTAAAAAGCACACACTCAGGAAATATTTGTTGAGCCTTTGGAGGAAAAGGGATTCCTTCCAACAGGATGGGATCTCATGGAGACTGGGAATGCCACTGAGAGAAGAGCATGGTTTCCTTGGAGATTCCGTGAACCGGTCTTTGAAATGCTAGCTAATATCCACACAATGATCTCCAGCAAAGGGGGAGGACCCTGCTTCAGGTGCCTTCCTTCTAGTGCTGCAGGCCCGCTGCCTCTGGGGCTCCATTCCCCAGGAACACAAGCAGTCTCCGCTGTTTTGTAAGAAAGTATAGCATTGCTCTTGGTACCCATGCTCTTGCCATTGTACTGGTTCACTAACTTCCCTGACCATTCTCTGGTGCCCTAGTACAGTCGCTGTCATCCTTGTCCAGTGCTGGGGACAGTCCTCTTCCTTAGAAGTCTTTCTTTTCCCTACAAGAAGAGGTTATAACCACTGGGGTTGAAGGGTGGGTATCACAGCTGCTACTGTGGGCTCTGGCAGCCGTCTGTTGCTCCCTCCATTGACTGGAGAGGGTCATGGCTAATTCCCTATGCCTAGACTGGAATTCTTTGTCAAGTTCTGTGCTGTGAGGGAAGAAGGGAATCATCACCATTGTAATGAGGATTTGCAGCCCGTAGTGACTCCCCAACACACATTAGCTCACTCGCATGTGTTGACATGACCCGTCTGCTGTCACCAGTGCACAGAGGAAGTGTCCTCCACTTCCTTAGCCTATGTGGGAAACTCTCTTGCTTGTCCATTTCTTTGTTCACTCTTGACAGCATCTTAAACACAAAGAGAGAGATACTCTTGGGTTCTGCACTGGGTATGAGTGAAGCCGCTGAGCAGATCCTGTCATCCAGTACTGAGATGTTGCCTCCTGAAGTGCATTGGGTTCTAAACATCCATTATTTGGATTTTAGGGGTAACAAGTAAATGATGTGGTGGAAAAACTGTGAATGGTGAGCAGTTTTAAATATCATATAACCTTTCTGAACAGTGAAAGGCAGTCATATACTTCTGCTTTTTACTTTTTCAATTATAAAAATCACCTACAAATTAAATCGAGAACATTTAAAACTACTTTGAGTTACAGAACACCAATGGATACCCAGGGACAGCAGGGTGGTGCTGTTTGCATTGGCTGCAAATGGCACAAGGTGGGGGAAGAGTTCTGATTATTGACTGTAGTGGTACTTACATGGTTATACAGGACTACCAAACTGTGCCTGTGCAAGGATGATTTCATTATATGCTAATAATATAATTAAAGAACAGAAAAATAAAAATATTCAGATTGCAACTCAGACCTTAGTATGACTAGAATAGTTTAAATGATAAGGATTTTAGAACAAGTCATTAAAAGTATTTCACCATTGGAGATGCTTTGAAAACTTATGTCAATCATAACACTCTATGCCTGTGACTCCAGAACTCAGAGGGCCAAGGCAGGAGGGCTGTGAGTTGAAGACCAGCCTTTTTGGAGCCCAGTGCCTATGGTGAGACACCTTATACAGCCTTGGTGCAGGGGGAGGGGCTTGGACCTGCCTCAACCGAATGTACCAGGCTCTTCTGACTCCCCATGAGAGGCCTTGCCTTAGAGGAGATGGGAATGAGGAGGGATGGATTGGAGGGGGAAGGCTAGGGGGTAGGAGGAAGAAGGAGAGGGGGATCTGTGGTTGGTATGTAAAATGAATAGAAAATTTCTTAATAATAAAAAAATAAAACAAAGAGAAAAAAAGATCACCCTGGATTACAATAGCATCTCAAAAACTAAGATCTAAAGACATAGCTTTGCTTTAGAGCATTTGCATAAAAGAGCAAGTGGCCCTGGGTTGATTTCCTCTATGATAAAACCATCACTATCATCATCATCATCATCATTTTTTATTTAAGTTTTTATTTTTTTGAGAAAAATCTCACTGTTTAGCCCAAGCTGGACTTGAAATCATTTTATAGCCCAGGCTGGTCTTGAACACCAGGTCTTCCTGCCTCAGCCTCCTGAGTGGTGGGAATACAGAAATTATTGCCATGCCTGGCCTGGGAGATCTGTTTTTAGTAAACTTTTCCTTAGGTGAAGTTGATGCCGTCGATGAATTCTCAGCCCTCACAGAGCGTCACACTTCTCAGGTCCTTCATTGCTGTATTGGAACTCCACAAACAATTAGCAACAGAGAAAGGCCCCACACCTCCTTCAACTCTCACGTCTGTCTTCTGCCTTGGCAACACTGAGGTGCAATGTCACAAGGTGACAGAAACCTTCTCAGTCAGTGACCGTGTACAGCGGTGAGATAGTCTTATCTGTTACCACAGTATAGTGTAGCCTGTGCTGACTGCTATACATGCTCCCACATTATCAAAATACTCAGAGTTTAAGGACACTTGAAGGTCCATTTATTGGATAGCTTGCTGGGGAATTTTATTGAAAAATACTGCTCACCGGCACTTTTAACATAGGTGACATTTGAGTGACGACCTCCTTGGCAGTTCGTACCCAAGAAGAGAAAGAACGTGCAACAATAACCTCAGCGGAAATCCCAGTTCCACTGGTAAGTATGTGCTCACTCTGGAACGTTCTGGGGTCACTTGATACTTCATCAGAGGCAGAACTCACCTTCTATTTATTTTTAATGAGCAAACAAAACAGTAGTTCCCACCATGACATTTTCACAGATGAGTATCGTGTACTTGGGGTTCAGATCCACTCCCCATTACCTGGTCTTCTTCCCCCTTGCTCCTCGTTCACCATCCCTCTCAGTCCCCCAGTAGCCTGCTTTCTACTTCATGTCATATGTGTGTATTTAACTCTGGGTTCTGTGTATGACAGAAGACATGTGACAGCTGAGTCTTTCTGAGCCTTGTCAATGTCGCTCAGCATGTTGATTTCTAGTTCCGTCTGTTTTCCTGCAAGTGACACAGTTTTGTTCCTCTTCATGGCTGAATATACCTCCCTTGTGTGTCCATACCACATTTTCTTGGTCCGTTTGCCTGCTGGTGAGCATCTAGGCTGGTTCCCTATCTCAGCTACTGTGAGGGGTGCCACAGGAAGCATGGTGTGCAGGTAACTCTGCTGAACCAAAGGAATTGCACTCAAAGATCTTTGACTCCCAGATTGAAATGTACAACGTGAGTGTAATGTTCCTCCAGTGCACAGTATATATAAGACAGAATACAAAATTCGCTGACTGGCTAAAACTAAAATTGAAGCCTCTCATGTGTGGTTTTCTTACAGTTTATCCATTCTGTAAATCTGTGTGTATGTGTGTGTGTTGTGCATATGTCTATATATGATGTGTGTATGATGTATGTGTGTGATGTGTGTGTAGTGTGAGTATGTGTGTGTGTGTGTGTGTGTGTGTGTGTGTGTGTGTGTGTGTGTATGTTCATGTGTGTGCGTGCACATGCATGTGCTACATGCGGAGGCCAGAGCAGGATGTCAAGTGTCTTCTATTGCTTTCTACCATCTAACCTGGAGTTTGCCTTTTGACTAGGCTGTCTGGCTAGTAGGCTGCCAGGTTCTGCCTGTCTCTGCCGCCCAATCCTGGGGTTACAGGCACAGGCAGCCATGCCTGGCATTTTTATGAATGCTGGGGCATTTCAGCTCAGTTCCTCATGATTGTAGAGCAAACACTCCCGTCCTCTGACCCATCCTTCCCACACCACCATACCTTAAATCTTAATATCACCATGATTTCGCTACGTTTTGACATTTTCATTGTATCTTCATATCATTGACTGTTTTGTATTATATATTTTTAACACAAGGAGATTTTCTTACCAAATAAATGATATTGGACTGGGCATGTTGGTTCACGCCCATAATCTCAGCATTTGGGAGACTCAGGCAGGACCACTACTACTGTGAGTTTGAGGCCAGCCTGTGCTACAGAGTAAAATGATGTCTCAAAACAAAAGAAAATGCAACAAACTAAACAAAGAAATGGTGTTCCAATCTTGACCCTGCTGACATGGTCAACTCGTTCGTTCCTCCAGGATCTCTGACTAACCTTGCCAGCTAGTGAGCTCTCCCCAGCAGAGTTCAAGCCTCGTGGTCCTACCAATCAAGAGATGCACATTTTAACATGGTCCTACTGGTCAACAGATGCACATTTTAAAAGAATTTGCTTTGGAAGAAGCTTTTTGAGCATGAAACTTAAGAGGGACTCGGCTAAGCCTGAGCAGTACTAGCTCATGGGAAACTTGGTGAAGGAATGCACCAGCTGGTACCCAGGAAATGGATTCTGAGTTTGTTCCCCTGAGAAAGAAGAATGGGAAACATGGCACCACAGGGAGTCAAGTGGAGGGGACGTACTTTCCAGTATGTGAGAGCAGCTCTGTGGTTCGCGCTGCCGATGACAACGTGCAGTTACCCTGACCGTTCTGTTTCCCACTCACAAATAGAAGGATGGAGGGGATGGAGGGAAGCATTTTTCCAGTGAGCCCCTTTTTCATTCCAGGTGAGCTACTGAATACTTATTGATTAAGAGAGCTCATGACAACCAAGTCTTCATCTTCCTGTAAAAGTTGAAGCTGTTATCAGCAACAAGAAAAGAGTAAAAGACAGGAGGTATGTCCTCTTTCTCATGTTTTCTGTCTCTATCCCATGAAAAAGATGGGGGACATGTGCATTTCTTTCTTTTTTAAAGGATTTGAAATGAGAAATTGGAACGTGTTAATGTCACTACACCCCTAGGGTCTAGCTTGTGCTTGTGTTTCCTGCTGTTCCTATTCAAGTGACTGGGCCACATTTACACCAAGTCACGACACATTTGTAGCAATTGTGAAGATGGAATTTTTCTTCTCTCTTTTTACCAGGCTCCATGGGAAGTATGCCGGTGTTTTTCACTTCAGGGATTTACTTCTTCATCACTATGCAGAAATACACTGAGAGGAAAAACTAACAAATGTGGATAAAGCAGAGCATTGTCAGTTCCTCTGGGGTAATGACAGTGTTCGCTCCTGTCTGTAGTCCTGTGGTTAACTTTGCTGATGAATTCCCAGGTCATCTGATGTTCAAAGTCCCATCATGTCCTTCAGCTTCTGCTTGATCTGGTTGAGGCAAGATCACGTGTCTGTAATCCTAGTGTTGCTACAGAGACAGAAGAGTCCCCAGAATTCTCATGGGCCACATAGCCTGGGTATGCAGCGGCAAACAAGGAGCCTACATCAACCAAAGTAGAAGTCAATGGCCAGACACTGTCCCCTGACCTATACATGTGTGCTATGGGAGTGCTCACACACACACACACACACACACACACACACACACACACACACACACACAGTTTCAGAGCCTCCATTCCTACCTTGATTTTAAATGACTTGTTCCTTCATCAGAATTACCTAGGACGATGGGGTGATGCCCAGGTGTCAAATTGTAACCATCATCCTAGGTGATTCTGATGCCAGCAATGGGGGGCTGTATTCTTAGGGTTGCTGGCTTGACTTTGGTCTCAGCGATCTTTCCTAGTCATTTATTTCAAGGTCCCCATTTCTTTCTATCAGACACAGAGAGTTCATAGAAGCCAGTGTAGACAAGTTAAACTACATTAGACATAGTTCCCACTAAGGAAGAGAGGGATCCTCGCTTGTCCTTTCTCAGTTTTATTCTCCTAGACCATGACCCAAAAGAATAGAGATGAAATAATCTATAATATGCAAGCAAAAAGATCTTTTCTTTTAGTTTTGAATGCACATTCTTATTAAATTGTTGTTAATTCATACATGTTGTATATTTCATATACATGAAAGTTATAATAATTTTTATTATGTGATGAATTAACACCATTGATATAGCCTATAGTAAAATGTTGTTTGTAGGTAAGTGTTTTAAAACATTACATTTTCTTATGTGACAGCGTGTTAATTCCAACAGCATGATGAGTTGCATTCATCTGTTATGTTAGTCTTTAACTTTATATGCAGGATTATGTAACATGTAAAAATAAACAATTTAATGTACTATATACATTCTTCTGTAGGTTCTAAAGGATAAACATTTGAAAAATATTCATGTTTTACAATGCAACATTAATTTGTACCCCACCTTCTGTTTTCTATTTATGTCTATCTATTTCAGTTAGTTCCCACTGATTATTTAGGTGATGACTTTTTTTGACTATTAAAATTTTGCTGAATTGTATCTATACATATTCTGGAGTTTCTTAGGTTCTAGAACCCAGCTCTGGCATTTTTATATTACATAGCTGGTGCATTTGTGATTTAAAACTTTACACTTAAAATAAAAGGTTAAGAGAATAAACAACTAAATGTTTTGATCATGTTTTATTGAAAATCCACACCAAAACCACCTACTTTATGGCTACCTCCCTGATCTCCTCAACTCTTTACTAAGGAAAATTCCTTCAGGATTTAATCAATGGACACATATAATTTTTAATCTCCACATTTTCATTTTCTATAATGACATATGGTTGTTTTATTCATTCAATGCATTCCTATAATGAATCATATCTAGTGCCTCCTGTGGGGCCACTCTCCTGGGACAAAGACAGAAATCCTTGCTTTCTTTCTCTTGGTGTCACATTCCACATAATCATGTGACTCATTCCACATAATCATGTGATTTTACTTAAATAACAATTAAATCACATTCTTAAGCTACGGTTTGCTCGTACATTATCTCAGGGAATCGTGATTATTGTTTTATGCTGTTTTATTTTAGGAGTGGCTCCATACATGACATTTTGTTGTACCCATTTCGGGAAACCCCCAGACACCACCAAGGAGCTGGTTTCCAATGCAAGCACATAAGGGTCCTTTTATTGTCAGGTTCAACCTGGGCCACCGAACAGCAGATGGAAGGAAATGTGGTTGCGGCTACGAGCCCAGGTGTAGAGAGTTTTTATAGGAAAAAACCACAAGCCATGAATTGCATACTTGGGATTGGGTAGAAGGGATATGGGGCAAGGTCATTTTTTGAAACTATTGGTCTAGACTTTCGGCGCGAACCCACATTTGAAACCATTGCATTAGACTTTTGGCGGGGAACCACAACCCACTGAACAGGATTATCTGGACTGCTCAGCAGGATTATCTAGATATCTTCAAGGGCCATAAATCAGACAGGATGTCTGCAGGAGTATCTGGATCTTGTTAAACTTTACTTTCCTGTATTTGTTCAAGTTGCCATGGCATATTCCTGAGGTCCTTCCTGGAACTGAGTACGTCAGGTGGTCTAAGATGGTGGCCCTACCATAAGATGAGGTCTGTATTGCCTTCACAGTTCATGTTGGAATCAAGGACTAAAGCTGACGAATGTGGCTTTAGCGTGAGGGAAGAACATGCGATTAATTCTCAGACTGCTTCGAAGTGGACACATTTCATCTCTTACCACCAACTGCCATAGCTTCGCCTTTCTTGCGGCTCGCCAGTCTCTGCTGTCTAGACCACAGCCCAGGCTGACACAGTTGTAAGGGATCTGGATATATGTTTATTTGAGATGAGGTCTGCAGCCCAGGCTGGCCTTGAACTCCTGAGATCCATCAGCCTCTGCCTTCTGAGTGCGGGGTGTACAGATGTGTACCTTCACGGCCATCAGAGTATTAGACTACTGGATTCTTGGCTTGCTAGAAACATGAGCTTAGGCACACTCGTTATCTTCCTGTGCTACAGTTTTCTGCAAAATAGAGATGTTATTCCACCTACTTTATACTTGGAGAAATCCTTAAAAGAACATAGTCCCTCTGGTTCAGCACCAACTGCTGTCAGCCTCAGTGCGCAAAAGTCAGCTTTCCCACCGAACTACCTGAAGGACATATTCAGTGAGTGTAATTCAGGTGAAAAGAGCCATATGGAAACAATGACTTTGCTCTTCTGTAAGGAGGAAAGTGTGTGTGTTTGCATGAAGCTAAGCTTGGGGCTTGCAGGAAGCAGCTTGCTTTGGGGCCTCTCTCTGTGATACCAGGCTGCCGCTGTGACTTCTGGAGAAAGGGCATTCTAGTGCACAGGTGGACTCACGTGGGACACAGTTATATACTCAGGCATACCACACACGTACACCCACCATGCAGACACAGACACACTAATGTGTACTACCCACATGCACATCTAGCACTCACACACATACACACGTACTGTGCTCAGACATACACTGTAAGGAAGGAAAGATGGTTCAAGAAGGGACGGAAGCCAAGAGGTCACTGTTAGTGAGAACAATTGTGCCTGTTGCAGTGTTTTACTTATTTGGTAGGTTCTTTTTAAAATGTGAGTCCAGGTCTTGGGGGGTACTCTCGATCCACGTAAATACACAGGCCACGTTCACACACCCAGGTTAGAAAGACTGGCCATTACTGATTCTGACAAAAGCAGCTCTTAGCTCACTTCTCTAAAAATGCCCATTACTGCTGACCACCGCATCTCCTCTCTGATCCATTTTCCCCTTCTCTCCAATGGCGAAAAATGAACTAAAGCAAGTGTGTCTGCACTGACCTCAGGCTGAGCTTTCAGAGATACTCAGAAAGGAATTAGAAACATGGAGCTGGCAGAGGTAAGGAGTGAATTCTCTCTGCAGTGGGCTCCTATGAAGTCACTGATTAATATAATTAAAAGCCTGAGTTAATTGCATTACTTTCCATTAGCTTTCATTGTATACCTGCCTTCCAGGGACCATGCCAGCTGTCCCCTTGGGGCTCTGGTCCCACGTTTACTCAAGCGAGATGGCTGCTTTCAAAACCGAACCTTTCATCAATCCCTTATTAATTAGCTAAATGCCGCATTGGATTATACAGTCGGCCCGTGGGCCGACAGCAGCATCAGGAGAGCAGGGCGGGCTCGTGGTCGTTTTGGCTCATCCTACTGCTTGGTCATTGGTATTCCAGGACAAGTCAGCTTACTGTAATTTGAAATTGGTCTGCCATCCCATTAGGAATCTGCCCGATCAATAGCAAGTGAATTAGAGTCTCGGTGATCTGATTAACTCCCCATTATTTTCTACCCTGGCTGATTTAGAATGCATGATGAGACAATATTCCAGTTTCTTTGCTTTATCCCAGTTTAAGTGAAATATAGACATCTAAGGAAGCAGTGGCTGTGCATTTGATTTGGCTCGGCTGTAATAAAGTCAAACACCATGAGTATCTCCCTCGTCATGACAGTCTTAAGTGACTGAGGGCTGCTGCCCGCACACCACTGGAGAGTGCGAGTGGCTAGGGAAGATGTAGGTGGGACCTCTCACTGCTCATCTGTCTTCTCCTTTTTGGCTTTGTTTTCTGAATAGATCCCTCTAAGGCTTTTAACGGGATGCTTTCCTTGTTTGTCATCTGGTCAACATTAGCAGCTTTGGGACTGAGGATCTGGGTCATGTGGCTGGAAGGCAGACCATAATTCTCTCCCAGAGGTCCACGACAATAGAGCAACTAAATATTGTCTCCTGATGATCGAAAACAAGCTGGGGAGCCAGCCAACCAAATGCTGGCCCTGGGGAAAACACTCGGTGCCCTTAGGGAGTAAATTTGCCCTCCTGGACAGCAAGACCGCTTTCATGTCTGAATCAGGGATTCAGAGAAATCTAAATGGGTCTTAGTAAACCCATGTGTGGAGTCTTGAGGCTTTACATGTAAACTGGTTGAAATCACTGCACACTGATGCCAGCAATGGAGCCGTGTCTTTGAAAAATGCAGTCAGATACCTCCTCATATATTTGAATTTGACTAGCAGACCCATTGCCTGGTAGAGTTCTTAAATAATTGATTTTTATTTATTTAAGATGGGAAATTTAAAATAGGTTTTTCAATTGATAAAAGCTGCATATTTTTTAAATATGCCTGAACCACTTGTGTGCTCTTTTGTGTCAATGATGACTGATTAATATGACCTATAACATGGAGTATTATCTCATGTTTCTCTGAGTGATCCCTGAGCACTTCAGAATGCTCTGCATGCTTGGTTGAAAATATTTGGTTTAAGATGGGATAATACCATCTCCTAGCTAGTTAGAGAAATGCCCACAGTAAAACTGTAGATGTGGAGAAGCGAAGCAGCTTGGCAGACAAATCTGGACCTAGGGAAGGCTGTGCTCAGCTGGAAATCTTAGGAACCATTGCTGGCCTCTGTCATTGATCATTGCCCAACTGAGCATTTCTGGATATATCCTGTGTTGTATCCCTCAATTACAACCCATGCCACTCAATTAGAACGAAGTTATAATGGTGATATACAAAGACAAATAACATTTGAAGTACCCCAAGTCAAAACAAAGAGAAGTCTGTTCAACCTGGGTCTGTATGCTACTATTTTAAGATAGGTTAAATTATTTAACCACAGCAAGTGAAGGTTTTTTAACAATAAATAGAATAGTAATGTTAATACTTTTATGGCATGTTCAGTAATATGTGTGTTTAGTGAATAACAGATGCTTGGAACTTGTTGGGGTCTCTTTTTCTCTCATATACTTGTAGAATCTGATAACATTTTTCATGTCATTTTTTCTGCTTTGACATGAATCTTAATTGAAGAGACAAGTGAATTGTGTCAGATACTTTTTATGCATATGATTTAAATGGAAAATTACTGGGATATTGCCAATTCAGTGAATGTCTCAAAAAGTTCACCTGAGGAATATTAAATTTTCATAAAGAAATTATTCATGCAAACAGAATGACTGATGACTCTTTTTAATTATCAGCACAAGGCTCTCGCAGAACCTCTCCAGGAGAGGCAAGAACCTTCAGCAGAGCTCAGAGTGATCAGCAGTGCTGTTTGAGGAATGCCAGGGTTAATCTTCCCTGTGTTGATCAGTCCTCATTTTCTGAATGCACAAGTTTCTACTCTGACAACACCTCTAGAACCTCTTTCCAATTCTGTTCATAGACTTATGCCATACATTCTTTAGTGGCATTTCTTGTGAATTAGAACCTTCAAGATAGTATTGTATCTATGCTGTTGTATTTAGTTATTTCATAACAGGTGAAGTTTATTATTTTCTCTCAAGTATTGTGATTTTAACCTTTCTTTCTTACTTATGAACATTCTTTGCATCCGTCATATATATAACTAATTATCTTTCTAGCTCTGTTAGTGGCACTAATAACCATCCTTGTTTCAATGTTGAAATCCACAGCCTGGGGTTTAGGATTAAATACATGGAAAATCCTGTTGTCTCTGGAAGCTTCCAGCCTACAGTTTTCTGTATTGTTACTACTGCGGTGCTGGAGGTTTCCTGCTTGGCTTTT